TCTTTCCCATATATAGAAATATTTCACGTCATCCATGCTCATTATTCCACACTTTATGCCATTATATATGGAACTAACAACAGCCACAAATCAGGACACTGACATTTCTTCCACAGCAACTCAAAGATGAGCTGGGAGTAAAGACATACTTCTCAGAACACAAAGAGTATCAGGACATCCCCCATGAACTATCCCAAAGCACAAGATACAGGTGAGTCCTTTCTTGACGTGTAGCACCAGAGCTACCAAGACAAGGAAAGCTGAAAGAGCACCTCTAGAAACAGTAGTATCACATCCACCTCAGAAGTAGAAACAATTTAAATTTTAATCTTAATCTTTACAGCCCTTTCCTATCAGCTACAAATGCAATAGAAAACGAAGACATTTTTTTCCTGAAAGCAGCTAAATAATGTTTTTCAGTCACCCTCCCAACACTAAGACATTTACGTTAGGGAGGGGAATCTATCAAGCACATAAAGGCAGATACTTGCTACATAAAAATGAGCATTAAATTTGGGGCCTATTAATTTTGAAAACACTCTAGCAACAACATTTCCTGCAAGGATTTGTTGAAATTACATGGAAAATTTAGAAATCTAAGCCGGGTTTGCAAGATGAACATGAAGCAGCTTCAAGAAGATGCTAGGTGAAGGGGTACTAAAGCTGCCCTTACCTCTGCAAGCGTTTGGCACAGCTTGCTCACTCCAGCGTAAGCCTGGGGAAGCACACCATTGTAGTCTGACCTTGAACTGAAAGCGTGGAGTAATTTTTTGGATTCCTGGAGTAAGATACCCGCTGTTGAGGAATCGATTGTTTTACCTGATGTTCAGATATTAATATGGGAAATTAAAAAAAAAAGAGAATTAGATACTAGGAGTTATCAATCTTACGAGGCACCAATCTCAGGCAGTAAATTTAATACTCAAATGTCTGAATGGGCTGAAGGCACATAAACTCTTCAAAATGGTTCAGGAGCATTAGATAAAACAGGCTCAAGAGAAATATTAACAACAGTATGTGAGGCTAAGACCTCCCAAGTCTTCCAAATTTATCCAGGATTTGGCAAGAGGCTCAACTGATGTATCTGAAATAATCCTGCAGAACAGCAATATCCCAGGAGAGCGATATCAAATTAAATTAAAATCAAATTCTTAAAGATGTCTTTAAATAAATGAGTCAGCTGTTGGTTGTGTTGTTTTTTGGTTTTGTTTGAAATTAAACCTCCCTGTTCTCACCTACCACAAAGTAGATATTACTTCTCCATAATTTATCTGGCAAATGCAGATCATCTGGCCACACACAGCATGGCAGCAAAGGACAAAAAAAGATTATTTGCTTTTTAAAAATACTTCAGAGACTTTGGTGACCATTAACATATATATTCATTAAAATGTTTTTCCCCCAATTTTTGTAGGCACCTAGAGATGTATGACAAATTCTTACATGCTGATAGTGTCCATACATTTGCTTTTACTGTCTTTGTATAAAAAGCAGAAAAAAGGCAGCAGAATATTGAATTACAAAAAACCTCCACAAACCTCAAAACAATTCAGAAATTGTTTTTGTGATTTTTGCAGGTGATAGTTAGACCATTTGGGACCAAAGCCTGGACAGACTTGATCTTGGTACAAGCTTTCTTTTTCCCTTTTTTTTTTTTTTTCCTTTTTTTCCTTTTTTTTTTTTCTAAATGTAATTTACAGCTCATCCATTTCAGCTCAATTCTGGCTTTAAGGCTACAAAACCAGTGTTGGAATTTTGTCACCCATTTGGGGAATAAATTGTGGATCAATACAAAAGCAGATAAGACTGTCCAAGGTATGGCTCCATTTGGACAATCTTAAATGGAAAAGAGAGCAGAAGAGGGTGGAACCCATTACTATTCAAACACACCCAGTATGTGCCTTTTCCAAGTATCTACTTTTTTAACTACTAACACCAGAAGAGTGAGGTTTTTTTACAAGTTTACAATGAACGTTCTCAGAGATTCTTACCTGTACAAAGGTGTTTATAGAGACATTCAACGGTTGAAAGCAAACTCCTTGGTACAACATAACCAAAAACAGCCATCCAGTGCTTTTTATAACAATTCAGCAAGTTTGCTAACGTCCACGGTGGCTTCAGGTACAGTATCTGAAAGACAAAACGTTATAAATTCAAAGGCTGATTTTCAAACAGACATAGTCCTGTACATTTCCCAACTGCTCTATTCTTTGATAATGTTATGATTTGTACATGCTGAAGTAGAATATTTCAAGGATTCCTCAGAAATAAGGCTATATTCAGATTCAACAAAGTTAGCTATTAAAAAAAAAGATTTGATTCAACAGCATCATGGGTTAAAAATGCTCATGTAAAACTGCTCAGCGTGCAACAATGATCTTTAAAGATTTTCATGATTTTTGGTTCCTCTTTTCTCAAAGACTCTGAATACCCAGAGTTATCTCTTAAAGTGATTTAAGTGTGTACAAATAAATGTGTACATTAAATACTTGTGTATAAAATCCAGAACAACAGTACACAGGCCTTTGGCTTTCTAGTAATGTTAAAAAGTAAAAATAAACACACTTTTCCTAGCTGTGACTATACACACATATTGCAATAAAATTAAAATTTATTACCACTAAGCGAAACCAGAGTTTGAAAAGATCTTAACAGAAATCAACTAAGTTAATCAAAAACACCTAAAAGCTTAACAGCTCATCAAAGCTCTAGCTTGTGAAACGACAGTCACTTCATGCAAATGATTTTCATTTTTTTTAAAGCCACAGAGGTTTATCTGCAATAAATTTAGAATTCTAACTAACCCCTACCAGCTATAAAGTGGAATCTCAACCAAAGCATGGATAATTTGAAAGTGCCTGGTACATCAGTATTTATTTGCTGTTAAATACTTTTGAAAGAGTGAATGTCTGGAGTTTCTTGTTAACACCCTGGAAATTCTGTATCTGTACTGTAACCAACTTGGCTGTGAGGGATTTTTTCCACATGGTACCTAACAACATCTGTTCTGATGGGGAAGAAGTGCCTGCAACAACAGTGTCTCAATATCATATCAAACATGATGGAACAGTTTCTTGAAGGACATATTAACAACACAGCGATTTAACCATCCTAGAAAAACTGAAACAGAAATTTAACCCAACTAATACAGGAGTTCTGATAACTTACACTGAACAGCCAGCACCTCTGCTATTGTATTATTAAAGACCATTAAAATACTGCACAGACTTTACTGGTCAAATAAAATAATCTTGTTATAAAATGAAAGAGTAAAACTGAACACTGAACTGTTACATCAGTGAACAAGATGACTCTGCTGTTTGGCTCAGCACAACTACTAACACCATTAAAACACCACACACGTTTAAACCTCTTAACACTCCAAATATCAAGCAAGATGACACAAGAAACCACCTCCATCCATAGGTTCCCGAATGCAATTTTCATTTCGGTCTCCAAAATACAAGATAAAGCTTCTCCCAAGTTCTTTTCAAGGTCTGGAAGTATATTTGGGAATGGCGCAGCGAGACCGGCATCACTTCTTTCTGTTTTGTGGGACTCTGCATCTGTCAAACCAACGATAATAAAAGGTACTCACTGCAACTGTTCCTATACCTCATTTATGTTATTGATACACAAATAACTCGAGCTCATAAAGAAAAACAGACTGCACTTCATGTTATAAAGCAGATATCTAATTAGGCTTCAAGTACCTCTAGTTATACCCACTTGTACTGTGGGTATTTTTAATTACGAGCTACTAACCAAGAAGATGAATTTCCCCAGAGCATGATTCATTTGTGATCTTACTCCACATTTCTTTTTTCCTTAAATACCTTAGATTATGTACAGCCAGGGGGGTTATCAGCAAGTGTAAGAAGCTCACTTCTAAATACTGTAAGCTGTATTTGCATCTTTGGAAAAATGAAGAGGCAACCCAAGAATCAAGTTCTACTGTTTGAGATGAAGGTGAAGGTATTGGTATAAAATGTGAGGAGTGATCTTGGCATACTGAATTTTATAGCTACTAAAATAGGACTCAAACTGGCTCCAGTGGAAAAACCTATTTTCAGTCTGAAAATTTCAGGACACCTTTTAAATTACTGTAAACACAGGTAATTCACACCGTATTTTTTTTTAGAAAACAAAAAATACGTCGTATTTGAATTTCCTAGAACTCTAAGAGACAGATGTTTTAAAACATCTCAAACTTTCAGAAAACTGTTTGCTTTTCAAAACCCAAAACCTGCCCCGAACAAAAACCATTCCCAAGGATTCAAAGTATAGGAAAACTGGAGTTATAGGAGAAACTCTTCTCCCTTTTGTACACTGATTATTACACGTCTCAAAAAGCAGCATATACACACGTGCACGTTAAACAAACTCACCACATTTAGGCTGTGGCAGCTCACCACAGTTCTGGTGCCTATTTATGTTCAGGTTCTGTAGAGCAGCAACCAAATCAGCTTTAGAGAATGCCTTGACCTCACTCACGATGGCTTTATTACATAAATTTTTATCATCTCTAGGAGAAGAGAATCAATTGTTTACACAAAACTGACATCATTACATAGTAAGTGATAAAAGCAACACGCTGAAAAAAATTGCCTCGATAAGCTTATTCATTATGGCTTTTTTTTCTTTCTGAAACAATTAGAAACAGTTCAGAAAATTAGATGAGAAAATTAACTAAAGCAGCTATTCTTAAAAAATAGAAACATACTGAAAAGTGTTTCAGGCTCTAGGTTTGCTTATTAAAAAACCAGCTTTAAATACTACAGCAATGCTGCCTAGTTGCTATGATCTTAGAATGCAAGCACGGCAATGATTCTAAGACAGTAATAGCTTCTCTGATTATATAATTATATATAATAAATCCTCATTTTCCACACCCTTTTTTACTGTTCTACTGACCAAATCATTGTATTAAGTGCTGCCCTGAGACACACACTGCTCCAGCAAAACTACTAAAACGATGCGGTAGCTGGATCCTAGCACCTTCTCAAAAATGATGAAAGGATAAAAGGATTTTCAGATGAAAACCACTTCTCAAGTCACCTCCTGTTCTCTACTCAGAGAAACCTAACATTACATTAACACAAATTAACACATATATTGTTTTCAGTTTTGTAACTCCAATAATATTTTTTATGCGAAGTCGGAATAAACTCTGAGGAAGCTACGCTTTAAAATTGAACATTGAATAATCTTAATTCTCCTTCAGGCCTCAAGCCCATGAAGGTGACTACATCTACAGTCTTTGTGTTTTATTCTATCCTTCTATTTGAGCTTTCAAGAGAGTGACTCCTCCTCAAAAAGCTTGTTTCAGAATCATAGAATCATCTGGTTGGAAGAGACCCACAAGATCATCGAGTCCAACCACTCACCCTGCACTGTCAGGGTCCCTAAACCATGTTCCTCAACACCAAATCCACACGGTTTTTAAACACCTCCAGGGATGGGGACTCCACCACCTCCCTGGGCAGCCTGTTCCAATACTTCACAACCCTCTCTGGAAAGAAATTCTTCCTGATATCCAACCTAAATTTCCCCTGGCATTAACTTGAGGCCATTCCCTCTCATCCTGTCATTCCTAACGTGGGAGAAGAGACTGACCCCCATTTCCCTCCAACTTCCTTTCAGGTGATTGTAGAGAGCGATAAGGTCCCCCTGAAGCAGCTCTTCATTTTAAGATACGATTTGAAAACGCTGTATTTGGCACGAGGCTACCTTACACTTCATAAGAGACCTAAAACCACACAGGAACTCACGTGCAGAGTATGACAACAGCTTGAGGAAAGAGGTTCTGGTACTGCAGACAACACTGTAAAACACGATCGTCGTTGTTCTCGTCACTCAGGCCATCTGCAAATTCAGTTAAGACAGTGCTGACATGTCCAGAAGTAACAACATAAGAAACACTTCAGTGTAGTATGTAGTAAAACGGTACTGGTTTTAAATTTAATACTCCCCAAACAAGCACAGAGAAGTGTAATCTAAACACAAATCTGAGCTTTGTTATTCTTAGGTACTACTCCACGCAAAACCGCTATGGTTTTGCCAGAAAATCAGTTGGAGTATGTTAGATTTCACGATGACCAAGGCAAAACCAAAAGCACACAGCTTATCTGTAGCTCATAGGTAAAAGTAACTAGATGAACTTTCATCGAGTAATCCCCTGCTTACCAAGAGCTGTAGCTAAAAGGGAGAAGGAACTGATAAAACAGCAGCGAACAGAGCCCTGATCTGAAGAAGGTATTTGCATATTACAGCCCTGGCTGTGCTCTGAAGGCAGCTGCAAGCTATTAACTAATTAACTTTAATTAGCAAACTGCAGAGAGAAGACTGTATTAAACTCAAAATTTAAGGCTAAGGCTCACACTAGTTGAACTGCAAGGATTAAGTACCCAAAACAAACTGATTGCACTTATTACACATTTTTTGAGAAGCCAGCTGCATGGATTGCCCCCACAATTTCGAATCTTGGTTTTTGAGACACGTGTAGATGAACTGGACTGCAGGGATAGATTTTTCCCGAACGTGCTGCAACACTTTCCCCTTCTTCAAGTGATCCAACTCTTGCAGAACGACCCAAGGAATTATTAATGCAAGTCTGGCAACCCCTGGAAGGGAAAAAAACAAACAAATAAACAAAAAGCAAGGACATTTTGAAAAGCCACGCAAACTACTACAGCTAACTTTGAATTCAAACATCATATTTACGTCAGCTCACCCTTATCTTTTTGCCAGTAGTTTTCACATTCCTTGCTAGCATTAAAAAACAAACAACTGAAAAAGGCTGAGTTCCTTCTTTCTAATCTAACCTCAAACTGGCACTGTCTTGGTTACATGTAAAAATGACAATATCAGGCAAACAAAAGGAATAAACAATTGTAATCATTGGAATACTTTGACAATAGGGTGTAGCAATGGTGTAAAATACATTTGCAGTGACTAACAAGCTTTTACACACTCAAAGATGTTAAAGCAAGGTGACAGCAGCTGAAAGAACAGGCTGGAAACACCTAAAGGACCACAAGAGTCGCTGCACGCACACAAAAAAAAAATCTGTCAAATAAAAGGAGTCATGGTTTGGGCTAAATGCCAACCAGCATTCTCTAAGGAAGGAACAGGAAGCACGGATATCGGATCATGGTTTTATTTGTATCAAATACAGTCTGAACTTTAAAACTATTATATATGAAATACAAAGTAAATCAAAAATTTGATGACTGTTCCCTCGGTCCACTTGCGACAAATACTTCAACTGTTTCCTTTCCCATTCATGTTATAAGAATACAATTTTGAAAAAACACATTAATATCCATCTGCTTTGTAATAAATAGGTCAGGAGTCAGCAACCTTCTGAACCTTTTGCAAAGCAGGTCTGGGGCAGGACCAGAAATTGGGAGCTGTAGTATTCTAAAATAGGCATCCCAGTCTACACAACGGGACAGCATTCCTAATATGGGAAAGAGAAATACAGTCTGACACTCTTGAAAATTACTCAGGCCCTTATTAAAGTTATTTTCCAAGGGGCTGGAATAAGTGTATTGATTAGTTGAAAGCATCAAAGCACCTGAAGTATTCTGACAGATTCCAAATACCAACTACTGACACGCATGATCCTAATCCTGCTAACATGAAAGCTTAACAACAGACTACAGTCAAACAGCAGAGCCAGGGGTTGCAATCTGAATTCCTGAGAAATTGCTCACACATCCCATGAATTCTGTGACCTTTACCAAGGCAGAAATTAAGCCCTGACTGACTGCTTAGCAGATTTTAAATGTTTTTAGATTTCTAGGGGGGAAAAAAAAAAGCTAAGGAGAGTAGAAAACATCATTACCACTAACAATGCATTAAATGCTTACAAGTATACTCTTACAATAGGTAAGATTTATTTACCCCTAAGAATTCATGCACATTCCTGGGAATGTTGACCACCATTCTCTGTAGGTATGTAGGTATAAGCACAGTAGATTCTACTTCCATAGATGAATTTTCCTTAAGAGGAAAATTTGAGTTCATAGAATTTGGGTTCAATCCATGTGGGTTCATAGAACCAGCCTCTTAAGTGTGAGTCTCCTGCCTCTGTGTGAAACCTGCTGCCTTTAAAGAGCCCAGGTTTGCTTTTCTTCATGTAGCCTGAAGTTCTGAGAACATCTGTTTTTTCTTAAAACGCCTTATCAATCACCATCTATTCACATACCTGGTATGTCCTCAGATTTCAGGGATTTGACAAACTCAAGGTGACTAATCATTATATTTGTGTCAATCACCACTAATATGTTCAGACCAGAAGTAAAAGCCTCTGGGGAAAAAAAAAAAAAACAATTGTGAAAAAAATCAGTTGTGTACTCTCTACTCAGACCATTAACTGACGGTAATAGTTGCAAGAAGATACCAAAGAATATCAGAAATAAGGACATACCAGCAGAAATATTTAAATTCTGTTCTGGAAGATCTATTTCCATACTCGTAAGTTCTCCACAAGTCTGTATTACAGACAGCGCCATCCTATTTTCAACACGAGCAACATGCAAGTCTTCAACTATCTGCATCTACCAAGGAAAAAAATTTGTGCGTAGGAAATCAGTAAGTAATCACTTGTGAATTGTTCCCAAAAAAAGACACTTTTGCATTAATGCTGTTAGTGTTAAAACTGACTAAAAATGAAGCACGAAATATTTTAACTTGGTACAGCAAATGTAAAGCCATGAGAACCTTCTACACATTCTCCACTATGAGACGTCCACAAAAGATGTCCAAAACACGGCCTAGAAAGAAGATTTGTTTGCAACCTTTATACCTGGTACCCAAAAACTTTGTTCCATTTTTTGCTACGCAGACTGCATACTTCCCAACATGTGTTTCTCAAAAAAATATGCCTCTCTTCCAACTTCAAAGTTAGAGGATGCAAAATGAGGTAGCCAGAGTACAAAAGCAACTATGAAGGTCCCCTGTGTTGCTGAGAGTAACAGAAGGGCAACTCTTCTATCTCAGAAAGTTCCTGACTAGCAGTACTTGAGCAAGTTTATTTAGTATTTGAAAAAAATGCTCCACATTTTGAGGTGTGGATCATAAGCCAACAATGCAAAACACTAGGAAAAGTTCGTGGAGTTGTCCAGCTACACGGGTTTTTAACACAACTGAGAAGTGTTAAATCAAAGCATTACTAACCTCTTGGTCTGTTTCTGGGTTCTGACTGTCTTGAAGGGGTGGGAAGACCTCGAAGCTCTGTAGGAAGAATTAAAACAAACCATACCAACACGACAAAATATCAAGGAAGTCTGAGAAACAAGCATGGCAAGAGTTTTGGAATATAGCTCTTTAGCGTGAAACAAGCACATCACTAACCTTTTGGGCAGACTTTGTGTCCTCACCTTCTTGGTAGGAATCAGACGTGCATGGGACTTCGAAATTCTAGAAACAAGTAAGAATGGAAGTAGAACATGTATCAGTTTTTAGAGTGCTTTTTACAGAACGCTGAATATTCCCAAGCGAACTGAACAGGTAACACAGAACATATTTTCAATATCCATGTTGAAGCATCTATAGTAGCATTACTACAGGGCTTAGAAAGCTGGCTTTCTTCTAAAATAAATACAGCAGTTTACACAGTAAGCCTATTTTTCCAGTCTCTTGTGGGTTTGTGACTGTGTTATTCTTGCTCTGGGCTGCCCAGTACAAGACAGACATTAATTCAATGGAGTGAGTTGAACCAAGGGTCACTGAGATGATGAAAGGGCTGGAGCGCATCATACAAGAGGCTGAAAGAGCTGGGACCGCTTGGCCTGGAGAAAAGAAGGAAGAGTCTTACCAACGTGTATAAATATCTGATAGGAGGGCGTGAAGAAGATGGAACCAAACTCTCAGTGGTGCCTGGTGACAGGCCAAGAGGCAATGGGCACAAACTGAAACACAGCAAATCCCATCTGAACATAAAAAACCCCACTTTTTCTTGAACAGGCTTCCTAGAGAGGTCATGAAGTCTCCACCCTTAGAAATATCCAAAACCTGACTGGACACTGTCCAGGGCAGTCTGCTGTAGCTGACCCTGCTTGAGCAAAGGGGCTGGACTAGACCATCTCCAGAGGTGCTTTCCAACCTCAAGGATTCCGTGGTTCTGAATGCAATTACTTTGTGTACACACAAAACGATCCCGCTACTGTAATACAACCTGAAACCATGTTGCTAGGAATCTTAACGAGAACAACAAAAAAGTAACCACACTCAAGATAAAGTCAAGGGGCAGAGCCAGACACAAGCTAGAACTTGGAAACGAACCGATCACAGCCAAACATGGAGTTCTGCAGGAAATGTGCACATTCAGTCCAAATCTACGAGCTCTCCAGGCATCCCTGGAAGTGTTCAAGGCTGGGCTGGATGAGGCTTTGGGCAACCTGGTGTAGTGGAAGGGGTCCCTGCCCATGGCAAGGGGGTTGGAACTAGATGATCTTTGATGTCCCTTCCAACCCGAACCCTTCTGTGATCACTCTGCCAGCAATGAGCACCTGTTTGGCAGGCAAGTTTTCATTAGTTCAGTCTATTCATTCAAAAATTGATATAATCAGGTCAGCTCAAAAAAATTCTGTTGACTTTTACCTAAATTGAAGTATTCCACACGCCCAGCAGCAAAGGAAAGCTAAGAACACATTATGTTCTGCCTTTCTGGCAGCCCAGAAAGCCAACCATGTCCTGGGCTGCATCCAAAGCAGCGTGGCCAGCAGGTCGAGGAAGGGGATTCTGCCCCTCTGCTCTGCTCTCATGAGACCCCCACTGCAGTGCTGTGTTCAACTCCGGGGTCCCAACATCAGAAGGACATGGAGCTGTTGGAGTGGGTCCAGAGGAGGCCATGGAGACGATCCGAGGGCTGGAGCACCTCTGCTATGGAGACAGGCTGAGAGAGTTGAGGTTGTTCAGCCTGGAGAAGAGAAGGCTCCGGGGTGATCTTACTGCAGCCTTCCAGTACCTGAAGGGCCTACAGGAAAGCTGGAGAGGGACTTTTACAAGGGCTTGTAGTGATAGGACAAGGGGCAAAGGCTTTAAACTGAAAGAGGGGAGATTTAGATTAGAGATAAGGAAGAAATTCTTCCCTCTGAGGGTGGCGAGGCACTGGCACAGGTTGCCCAGAGAAGTTGTAGATGCCCCATCCCTGGAAGTGTTCAAGGCCAGGTTGGATGAGGCCTTGGGCAACCTGGTGTAGTGGAGGGTGTCCCTGCCCATGGCAGAGGGGTTGGCACGAGATGATCTTTGAGGTCCCTTCCAACCCAAACCATTCTATGGTTCTATGATTCTATGTGCAGACACCGTCCTAATATGCAAAACCTTTATTATTCTAGTTTTGTTTAAGCATTTAGCAGAGAAACATTTTAACGTGGTTTACAATGGGATTCGAAAAACCCACCTAGTTAGCCAGGAAATCCAGTCTGAAATCCGTAAGAAAAGAACCTGCTTATATAAAAACTTCCTGCTGTTCGGAAACTGGCCTGAAACATCTACTGCATAATAGAAAGCATTGGGTTCTCAATACCTGCTTAAAACGTAACGCTGTGGCTTCCAAGTCCCTTTCTTCAGCCCTCGAGCCACCAGTAGCTTTTTCAGAATCGGCGTTCCGTTTTTTCCGTTTCCAGGAGTCCCATTGTTGCGGTGTTTCAGCTGAACAGCGAGACGGCGCGTGTTTGCTCACGTGCCGCTTTTTCTTAGGAAACTCCTTGTATTCTTCTTCATATTCTTCTTCCCAAGTCCTAGATAATTTATTTGACTTCTTAATAAAAGGTCTATCGTCATCCACAGGCCCTGCGGAGGCGTCAGGTGGCTTTTCTGGAATTCTGACATCCTCACTCCGTTTTTTTGATCCGTCTGCCTTTTTATGGGGTACACGCAAACTGTGCGCAGACGACTTACATTTTTCCAACACAGTTTGTTCTGCTTTTAACTTTGGTTTGCAGAGTTGAGCTTTCTCTGCCTTCTTCTTCATGGCCTTGTCCCTCTGAACTGCAAAGCTATGCCAGAGTCTTCTTCCTTCTTCTCCATCAAAACGACTTTTGTTACGGCTTTCGCTGCTAGCAGTCACTACCTCAGGAGTGCGGGTACTTTTTCCATGTTTAATTTCTTTGGCTTTAAAATGTATAACTATTCTCTTTTGCTTCTCAGTTTGGATTAAAGAACTGTCTGTGGTTTTGCTTCTGCTTGGAGATTTTCCTTGGGATCTTCCATCAGCGCCAGGAGAAATCTTCGAACTTTGGTTTCGCTTCTTTTCGTGCTCATCTTTCTCTAGTCTGAATCTACAGAAACATTGCAAAAAAAGTCATGTAATCTAGCTCAGTTAATGTAACGGGGGAAAAAAAAGCCCAACAAAAGCATCTACATTTGATTTAGGCAGTTACAGCTAAATATTTATGAACACCAGTTTGGTATGTTCTCAGATATGAGCTTACAGCAACATCTGTCCTTTAAAACAGCTTTTTTAGTATTTACATTTTTACAAGCTTTTTTAGTATTTGCATTTTTACAAGCTGCACAGCTACTTTAGCTTACAAAATTGAGAAAAAGCTTTTTTTGCATTCGCTATCTACTGGTTTGAGAGATGCCCTTCTACAGACCAGTTTCATCTTATCAGAGAGTTAAAATTTTTTTGGGGACCCTGTTTTCTCAACTATCTCCAACTGCCTACCTTAGACAGAATCCACCCATCAATGCCACACCAACACTTCAACAGTTAAAATACCATATTTTATTTGGTGAACAAGTCGAACAAAATTCTTAAATTTAAAACAATCACAGATTTTTTTTTTCTTTAGTAGTTCCATTTAATGACAGAGCAAGAACCTACCTCTCAAATTCTGACTCTCTTTTCATAGTATGGTTATAAGATCTCGCGTCTTCAGAGTTCTGAAAGAAGGAAAAAAAAAAGTAAGGGCTTACAGAGGAAACTGCAGTTAAAAAAACTGCATAAGATGGAACAAGCCATTATTTCATACTAGATTCACTACGATTTTGAATAAATTAACCTTGGAAAAAGCAGACCCAGACCTTGCTCTAATTTAGTATTTAGATTGTATTATATTTAAGAACCACACAAGGGGAAAAATTGCATGTGGCACACAGCCCTGGGATATAAACAGAGAAAACTCAAATAATTAAACACATTTAGGATCCATGTGTTTCATATATTCTGCAAGTAAATCGGTATGTAAAATACACATTTTTGTCTATTTACAAAAATCCCCAGGGAAAATAAAGTTACCTAAAGACTGCTTCCAACTACTCCCTAGGTAAGGCTAAAGAGAGGGTATTTCTATGGGAGGTTTTTGTGCAGAAGAGATGCGTTATTGATCCTCATCAGATTTATTAATTAGGTAATAAATGTGTGAAACCACAGTTATGTAGGCCTGGTTGAGAGTAAAGACAGTCTCCAAACAAAGAACCTGAAGAGTCCTCATTCAACAGGCAGTTATGCCACTGCTTGGCACATCTATAGCACAAGCCATGTGGCATCCATCTTATGGGATAACTGGAAGGTGACTTTGATCAGGTCAGAGCAGGAGGCAGTTTATTATTGCACTACAGGAGAGAACAGAGAGCAGCAAAACAACAGACTCTGCTGTCTGATACAAACTCTACCCAACCAGGCAGTTAATTTTTACATACCTTTGGGTTTTAAGGCTGTTTTCCCAAAACTATAGCAAGGTGTGGGGAATTACAACAGAAAACACAAGGATTACTTCAGATAAGGAAGCTCTAGACAGTATGTCCTTTCACAAATAATTCCCTTTTTCAATAATTTGGTCTCAGCGAGGCCGTTAGGTCACTGCTGCAGACATTTTCCTACCTAGAGAGGCCTGCAGAGCCCTAGGAGGCCGTAGCTATTTTACTTCCACATTAGAAAGCACTTCATTAAAAAAATAAGAGGGTTGCAGAAACCAGCGGAGTCCTAATGAATTAAATCTTGAGAACTTGTGACTGAGGCTGGTTCTGGAGTTCTGACAGCAGCAAAACCAAGTAAATCGTAACTTAGGAGACTGCTGCCACTGAGAATCATATCAGTGCAACTTGCTGTAGAAAGACCTGTTAAACTCACATGATTATAACCAAATAGGAATCAAAGTGGTTTATTGGTTTGTTAACAACTCAATTAACTGGCAATCAAGGCAATACACACTCAGGGTCAATGCCAGAAATACAACAGGAAAACTGTTATTAATAACAGACAATTACAACACGGTATCAGACCAGATGACTTGGTACCATAAAGTTCTAATCTCACACACCTACATGATACACTGACACACGTGCCCACGCTGTTGAGGACGCGGGTGCTCCAGTTGTGCGTGCGGCTGTATCACTTCCTACACTCTGCTAATGCACACGCTGGTGAGCAAAGCCCCCCACGAGGGCACGGACACCCTACCAGGATGGGGGACCCTACAAGATGCTCCCCTGTATGGTCACTCCACCAGCTGGAACGTTGCTGGTGGAGTGAACAGCGTTCCATCATAGAGCAGGTGGAGGTTGTGATGCTGGTGGGACAACTCCTGGCAGCATCAAGCCCAGTGTCCCGTTAAGAGGTCAAAACGACCGGTCTGTCAGTGTAAATAGCTTTGGTGAGTACACCAGTTTCAGTAGTACTATGGCCCAACCTCCTTATAATAATAAGGGCAAAAGTCTCTGGAACTTTTGTATATATCATTTTATTCGTGACAGGGTATAGATTCGTAGATAGCCAGTGATAGTGACTGACTACAAAACCAACTTTGATTATAATAATATAAAACTATTACTGATCAGTGATAATACTAACTAGCTAGCAAGGTGTTAGTAACTAAGCACATAACACAGAGCTCTTACCCAACAGGCGTCCCTATGGGGGGGAGAAGAGAGGTTCAGCCCGTTGACTGATCCCAGACGTTTCAATGGGAGTCCTCTCCCTAACATCCCCTTTGTCTTTTGCCATTTTATACTTTTTCATTTCTTTTAGGTGGAGCTCGAGTGACTTTAGTCATACATATCTTTATTAGGATTGGTGTAAATTTCTCTCGTGAGGGGTGGTCACAGCTCAGAGGCGGGTAGCCTTCAAGGTGGGGGTGTGATTTAGTAGCTAAAGGACAGGATTTCACCATCACTGCTGAGGCAGCAGTTGTGATTCATCTTCCTTGAGGGCAATTATATGGTTATCTTCACCAGGCACCCCTTATCCCTGATAACAGGGATGAGCCATGATACCTCTGTACCACTCTACTCCCCATTTCAAGGGTATTACATAGGCCTTGTTTGTTCCTGGGAGCAGCAGCTGTGTCTCATCTCAGAGCTGCTCTGATATTACAGAAATGTAAGCTGAACTTTGGGGGATAACATTCTCCCATTCTCCTCCAATTTCAGTTATTTCCACACCCAGTTTGACTGCTGCTCTGTTACTGCTTTCTCTCTTCATGGCCTATTCCCCTCAAACCACAAGTTTTCATGATGTGTTTTAGTAGCTCTTTTCAATCTAGCTCCTGTTTTCTCAAGAGTCTCGTGATAATTCCCTGATTTTCACTGAATTTGGTCATCTTAAGCAAACTTTCTTAACTGTTACTTTCCTCTTAACATCATTGGTTTAGGATAAATGTCCTCTCAGAGCAGACTTGTTGAGGTGTCCTGTTTACAATTCCATGGCTCTTAGATCACCTGGCATTACCCAGGCACCACGTTACCAAAAGGCAGCTGTGCTGACTCCTCCAGACAGCTCTGTGTAAAGCTGTTTTAATTTATACTGTGACAAATGTCCTTTTGCTCATACTTGAGGCATTATATGCCAAACCACTAAAAGCCAACAGGCATAAAGCTTTCTGTAACCTGACACAACACACAATAAAAAACCCAAAGCCCCCCCACAATCATGCCTGAATATTACTCTATGTAAAATGGCTCATTCTCACCTGTATGAGCTGAACATACCTCTTACCCATACTGTGATCACACTGAACAAACACCTGCTACTATTCAGAGGTTTCCTGATGGTTTTGCTACTAATAGTTTGGGTTCTGACTGTTGCTTGCACTGGTCAACGTCTGCATATAGCAATATTTAATGTTGTCTCAAACAGATCGAGGTCATGTAACAGCTAAAACTCTGTATTCTTCAAACTGGTGTAGGTATTAACAATGACAATACAGCTGTAGTATGAGGCTTTAAGCCAAGTTTTTTACTCTTTGTATTACAGAAGTAAAAAAAAAAACCACCTAAGGATAAGTTAATGTTAAAAGACAAAATCAATAATAGTAAGGAATTAAGGAGGAAAAAAAATAGTTACAAATATTTGGCTTTGAACACTGTCTACACAAGCAAAAAGCTTCTAACATGTAATTCAAGTTTATAAGGCCATAATCATGCACACTTATAAACACTCCCAAACATTTTTTGAAAACATTTATGGTAAGACAGATAAAGGCTCTCTTATTTCATATATACCTTACAAAATACAAAGGAAAAAAATCTAGCAAGCTTAAGTGTGGATTTATTAAAATACTGATTTATTGGATATGCATTACACTATCAGAAGGAAAAAACTTCTCAGAAGGGGATACAAACAATAAAAAAAAGGAATAGGAAGCTACACACAAGTGTGACCAGAAAGATTATCAGCCCTGTAGCACCTGCATTTTCCCAGCAATTCAGTGAAAGCTTACTCACTAGATACACATATGTACCAGAGTATACTAAGAATTTTGGTCGTTGATTTATGTCTCAGTGGTTAAAAGGAAATATTCGAGAGTTGCTTGCTAAAATACTGCAAAGTACAATTTGGGATTAATCGGAAAATGAAGATATATGATCCAAGATAGAGAATGATCCAGGAAGACAGTAGGGGTTTTGGTAACAGTTTTAAGCTCAACTTTCCTCCACCAGGAAGATATACTAAAATAATAAAGTCTCTTATTTTCTGATACTCCCACTACTCATAGCCTCTAGAGAAAGACATAAACCAGTTATCTGGCTAGAACTTGCAGTTATCTGACCAGTTCAACCCTCCTACTGTTCTTAATGACCCCACCTTTAAATCCCATTCACCCTTCCATCACAAGACTGCTAAACAACTCACACTCTTCTCTTGAACATGGGGGTTTGACATAAAATAGTGATAACAGTAATAACACAGCTGTTCCTACTTTGTCATCCCGGCCATCCAAACAGTCTTCCTTTCCAGTTAACTTCTTCAGTTTCTTTTTAGACATCTTCAAATCCTAAGAAAAAAAAAACAACAAAACAGTTTGACCGTTATTAATTATTTCAAGTTTTTATTTCCAGCTGGCATTAAAAAAATGATTAACTGCATACAGAGAAATACTCTGAGACTCTTTTTCTGTTTTCCCATCACAGAACCACAGCGGATTTCACCAGGGCCAGTTATCCACATCTCACTGCTACGAGAACTCACAAAAAAAAAAAAAAAAAGACAGGAATTACTTCGGGATCTGCTCCAGACACGCACATTTTGTACCACCAAACGCACCAGGCTAACAGAAACAAACACCCTGCAACGTTTAGTCACACAACAATCAGGTTTTAAAGCAGCTCCAAGTACAGCTCTCTCCCCTTAGCCCCCCCCCACCGTGGGGTGGAGGTAATATCGCGACATGACGAGGTTTAAGAAAGCTTCACCAGAAGCTCCAGAGGCGAATTTCCAGAGCGCGGGTCCATTACCTGAAGGAATCAGCCCCGCAGCAGGAAAGACTGAGCAAACACTCGGCTCTTCAGGACGCCCTCCGCCATGGGCGGGCTGAGGCGGCGGCGGCG